GGCCTGGCTGGGCCCCTGCGGAGGTCTTGCCTTGCCGGGGCACCCGAGTGGGCCCGCCTGAGGCCTGGCCCCGAAGCCGGGTGTCTGAGGGGGCCCGTAGTGCCGGGCCGCGGTGGGGCTGGCGGTTTGGCAGGTCACCGTGCGCGGGCGGAGGAGCCGCCCGGTTGGGGCCTCTGGGAAGACGGGGTCGTTTCGGAGTGGTAAGGGGCACCGGCACGGAGCCCTCCCGAGAAACTGCTGAAGGAAGCTGGCGCCAGCCCCGTGTTCAGCAATAAACCCTGCTCTCCTCAGTGGGGTTCCTTTTGACTGGCACGGAATCCACTGTCACGTTTTATATTGCAAACTGGAAGGAAGGGCTGTATTTTCAGTACTGAGTAAAAAGTATCCAGCACAACCGGCCCAGTTATTTTTCGCTGAGACATCTTGGTGACAGATCATAATAAATAGTAGTAATAAATATATCCCAAACAGAGGAGGTACTGATACAAACCTGTCCATTCAAATCTGATTCTAACTACAAGCTTTTTGTTAACATACCTATTCGTAACATTCCCCATTACATCCTGTGTGTTTTCTTCCAATAACATTGAGTAAATGAGAACTGTTGCATCTGTATCCTGACTTGGAATATAACTTATTCTGACCATGCTGAACTTTGTAGAAGGAAGAGGGTTTTTATTTTATTTTCATCTGGTAAAATAAAAGCTAGCAATTCCTCAAAGGTAATGTGTATTTTCACTGCCTCTGCTTTCTAAACCTAAGTAGAAAATTATTTAATAAAAAATTGTCTTTAAAGGGATATTAGATGTGAAAACTATAGCAAAACAGTGTTTCTGTAGAGATCTGGTTTCAGCTGAGTCTTTACCTTGTGCACCCTCAGAATCAGTAGATCTGAAATGCTCTGTTCACTTTGCTGATGGAATTTTGATTTTCCAAGTTAATTTCATTTCTAGTCTATGTAAGTGAACTCAGAATCAGGAAAGAAACTCATGTCACTGTTATGCAAAATGCCATTATTACTTCCCTACAGCAAGGAGGATCATGTCTTTATTGCATCTATTCATCCTCATTACCTGATCATTAGTCATATATCGTCTATCATCCGATGTCTGAGTGTTCTACAGCATTCCTACAAGTCTTCTACCCCCACTCCACTTTATTGTCCTAATTTGCTTTTAAACCAAGTGTGTCACTTCTAAGGCCAATACTTGTTATTCTATCTTCACTACATAAAATCAAAAGCTTTTTCTTTCCCATAACGATATCCTCTAGGGGGTTTTTTCTTTATCTCCTCCCTGTGGAGTGTAACCATGTTTACAGACAGGTTGGTGAATAGCTGCCCTCCAAGACCTGAAGCATTGAAGCTGAGTAATTAGAAATTTTCAGTTTTTCAAGTAAACATGACCAGGTTTTTTTGTTTCATTCTGTGACACCCCCTCAATTTGTTTGCATTTTTTTATGACAGTGACTGCACTGTGTTTCCTCTTGGTATTTATAAGAAACCATTGGGACATCTTGGTGTGTCATCTTTGGGGAACGGACAGCAGCAGGAAGCCCAATTTTTAAAGCAGAGAGGTACTGTTGCTGGAAAGGACAAAGGCCGCCTGTGCAAGGCAGGGTACTTGAAGCAATTGTGCAAGGCTGTAAAAGAGACTCCTCAAGAAAGTTTCCTTGCACCTAAGGCAGATAGATCTGGTCTGGAGAGAAACTGCCTTGCAGATGGAGGGGATATCCTCCTCATGGAGCTTCCTAAGTGAGGAGACCAGGCCCAGCTCTGGGAATCTCAGCCAAATACACAGCCCTCCACAAGGAAATAAAGTATTTGCATTTTCCAAGTGCAGGATGAACTTCTTTCATCAAACTTTTTGCTGCATGTGCATTCAGGTTTTAAAACATTAAAAATTCCAATCAATTTCCTACCCCAGAGAAGATAAAAAGATGGTAGTTGCATCACAGCTGACATAATGAGGCAGAGTAGAAAAATGCAGTCAGGGCATGAAATGCTGGGGTTTCAACCCCAAATTAAGGTTGACATATGGGTGATTCCCACAGCCCTTCACCAAGGGGTGATGAGTTTCCCTTTAAGCTTCCCTCCAGGGTGCGGCCCTTGCAGTGAGAGCCATTGGGTAAATGAGCCCCAGGTGTCCAGCATTAAGTAAACAAAGGTCAGGTGTCCCACGTGGGGATAAAAGCTGGGACCACTTGCAGGCAGGGGCAGTGTCTGTCTGTGAGGTGGGTGCCCTGTGCAGAGTTCCCTGTTGGCGAAGGACCTCCTGCCTCCCTGGGACTGGGCTCCAGTCAGGTTAGGCTTTTGTAAATGCAGGCTGTGTAGAGATTCAGTATGTGGCTTCCTTGGTCTTATGTGTTTGGTTTGTTGACTTGGTTGTCTCCTGTCCCTTCTATGGAAGACTGAATTTCTCCAGTTATTCCACCCATTGTTGGTTGTGTGGTGTCATTGTTGGGGTTAGTGGGATTGATGTCACTTATGTACAATCTGACTGACTTGTTTGTACCCCCAGTGCTCACCCATGTACTGATCCTTTTGTATCAAATACGACTTGGTTATTGGTTTATCTTTATGCTGGCTGTGTCCTTTATGGTAGGCCTGATAACTGGCAAAAGAGGGCAGGACAGCAGAGGCTATGAGAAGTGGCAGCTCAGGACACAGCAGAGGAGTACAGGTGTGGGATGAGAAGGGATAGATCATATCCCTGGTGCTAGAGACCCCACAGCTACAAATGGCTCACTGTCAGTTAGAGACTCACAGACCTTGTATTGGACAAAAACAGGTTTCATAGGTAACAGAGAACTAAAACCAAGTACTGTAAAAATATGTAAAACACTGCACATACTGAACTTAGAACTGTAGACCCATGATAAAAGAGCGTTGTTAAATGTATAAATATTACCCTCAACTGATCTTAGAGTGAGGGAGAAGAAAACATCAACATCATATTCTTCCTGAGCCATGACTCCAGATGTGATGACTTGCCCTGACAGCTCCTCATGCACACACACTAGCACAAAACCACTGATCTTCAGACCCGGGGGAGCAGTGGAAGTATGAGCATTACACAGGTAAAGAGGGGTAAAAATAGTAACAGTTCACATAATTATAACTCTATTATTATTTCAGCTATTTCTGCATAGGAGTATTCTTTCTTTTCCCATAATAACTAGACCTGGATTAATAACCATCCTTGGTTTAAGCTAAAATTTCAATTACACTAAAACTTTTGGCTTTAAATATACCCAGTTGTCCTCTTTGCCCATAAACAAGGCTTTCAGTGTAGCAGCACTGACACTAGGTTCTGAATGATAAGCTATAGAGTTCCTGGGGGAGAAGACCAGTTGGGACAGCGGGGAAAAAACAACCTGGACTTCCTCATGGTTATAAGTGTTCTCTAAAGCAGTTTTGAAATAGTTGGCATTATTCCACTTGGTAGTGGAATCATAATAACATAACAGAGCTAATTTATACACTATACATTGTATGATAATTAAATGTACACAGTAATTTTATAAGATAAACAGAATCTTGATTTTTACCTTTATCACTGCCACATATTAGCTGCAGGATGCCAGTGTCTGTGGGAAATGAAGAAGGGTGCAAAGCATGAAGCACAGACCTCATTCTGCTCCTGAGTTGCAGAGCAGCCATGAGAGCCATCACATTTGGAAAACCCACAGTAGAGGCTCCTATGCCAACCCCTCCAGGTGTCGGTGCAGCGAAGACATGACTGCTAAGAAGCGAGGAGCTTTGCCTAGGACATTCTTATTTTTTGGTGGCTGCTGAAATTTTCTTTTCAATTCTGGATGTGTGGCCAGGAGCTAATCCGGCCCTGCAGGAGCGCTGACTCTTTACAGAGCTTCACCCTCCACACAGCTGTCCTGAAAATGGCCAAGACAGACCACAGAGCTGAATCCATCACCTTGGGAAGATTTCTTATGTAGCATATTCTGGTTTTCCACTGTGTGACAGATTTTTGGTGTAATTTGT